GTTAGAATTTCTAGCAAGCTGTATGATTTCAGTAACACTTGAGTCATACCATATGTTCAGTCTGCTTATTGAGAAGTATTATAGAAGTAGGTGTTAGGGAAAAAAGGTTTTTTTAGAAGGGATTAAGTAGAAACATAGGAAGCTGTTTTATACTGAGTCAGATCATTGCTCACTGTAATCAACTGACTATGCTGAGCCCAGCGTAGTCAACTGAGTGACAGCAGGGGCTCTCTGAGGTTTCAGGTAGGATTATTTCCTAGACCTACCTGTCTCTCATCCAGATACTAACCAAACCTGACCCTGTTTAGCTTCCAATATCGAATGAGATCAAGTCCGTACAAGGTATTACACTGTTGAGGGTAGTAAAGTCTAAAATAATCCATTTTCATTGTGAATGTTGGATAAGACCAGAATTGTATAATATGTGCAGATTAAAGCAGGCCTGCTGCACCTCTGAGATAGGCCTCATTGCTCTTTGCAAGCTTTTGTACTCATATCTCAGCAGGAATGTTTCTTGTTCCGAACTCCTAGAATGTTCAGCATTAACTCGATTTTGGTGCTGGGGCCAGCTGCTCCGAGGGCAAGCGGAGCAGAGCTGTGTACACAGCGCTGGAGGGCTACTGTGCTCTCAAGGTAAGTGATCTTGATAGGTACATTCTGACTGATGAGAGAGTTTGTCTCCTGAACTGTCACAGGGTTTATAGAGGTGCCACTCAATACTGATGCTGGAATTGCTTGTCAGAGCAGCCGCCTACAAGAGCAATGGGGATCAGAGACAGAACAGTAACTTTGTTTTTCCCTGGCTTAATGGCCCCAGAGTCTGACCTGCATGCTCACTCTTGTTTGTCTGGACTTTTAAGTAGGCATCTTGGATTAAGAATGTCAGAGAATGGCGTTGCTTTACTTTCAGTAAAGTTAGTTATATCACCAAAGATGAGTGGTATATAGACAAAATTGTGCAGATAAGAGGCGTGAGCTGGCAAAATGCTGCTTTTCTCATGGGAAAGTCAAGTAAGCCTTAAAACAGAGTTTTTACGTTTTAATTTATCTTAGAACTATAATGCACTTTCCTCATTCTGAGGATAAAAAACATACATACTTTTCAGAATTGCCTTTCTCTTTTTTATCACTACTTAAGCTACTATTTAGATATAATATTCTTAGTTAATTGTTCTGCATTCATATTATATGCTCTGTTAACTTCTAGTCTGGGATGGTGATCTAAATGAATACTGAGAATAGTATTCTTATCAGTCAGATTTAGAATAGTTGATTATGGCATTAAAAGGGAATTGGATTGATTCATGAAGGATGCGGCTGTCGGGTTAACTATTGGATGAATGAAATCTTCAACTCCAAAGGAAATGTGTCTTAAAACCAGTTGTGGGGGTGGTGCTTGAGGAACCTCAATACCATAGGAAGTTTATTACCTTTATTTTCTGGAAGCTGCTGGTTGAGAATTTTGGAGAAATAGAATACTGGACTAAATGGATCCTTGATGTGGCCCAAGTGGCTTCTTTTTTTGCTGAATTTTTGACATGATTTAAAATACAGACTGATGTATATGGCAGCAGTGGCATTGGAAAGTGACAATTTAGGTCCAAAACACACTGCAGAAATAATCCAGTTTGAAACTGCTTTAACTGCCCTGGCTCAGTGTTAGTGGATCCTGGGAATTGTAGTTTATTATGACACCAGAGTGCTCTAACAGAGAAGGCTAAATGTCTCACAAAACTATAGTTCCCAGAATTCCCTAGCACTGGGCCAGGGCAGCTAAAGCGTTCTCAAACTGGATAATTTCTGCAGTGTGTTTTGGACCTTTGTCTTGACTGCTGCTGCCTTCCAGGGGCTTGGTTTGTGTCAAGAAGTAGTAAGAGAATACATTTGAGCACACGTTGCTTGTCCGTTTCTTACCATGAAACAACCCATCTTTTTCTACATCCTAACCTTAAGGAGTAGAATTTTTAGAGTAGTTTTGAGGTAGATTCCGGTCCTAGCTCATTTTTGTTTTGTTTTTTTAAACCCAAGCACCACCTCTTCCCAACAGAACCTAGCTCTTTGCTATGACCCAACAACACTTTTAAGTCCATGACTTAAATTAATGACATTCCCGCTCT